AAGCTCCCAACAATTAGTCAGAGAATTGTAAGTGCTCAGAGCTTGGCGGAAGATGATGTGGAATGAGAAACAAATGTCAACATAATAATCTCAATTTAAAAATATTTTTAAAATCTTAACTTGGAAGATGATCAGCTCTGGGGGAGTAAGGGCAAATAAGCTTGTTATGGACTGTCCTACACTGAAATTTACCAAAGTTAATTTTTACTTTGTGTAGATCCATTTGTCTGTTTTATTTATTTTTCCCAGTGAAAAGTGTATTTTGATAGAGGTTTTCATTTTATAAATACACTATCAGTTACTGAAATATGGATTTTATTTATTCCTAAAACGTGCAATTAGAATGTACATATAAAACATCACATTACTTACATTAAAAATACCCAGTGCTCAGTTTTGAAAGATAGGCCAAAAAAAGTGTAGAAGAACACTGAAGAATGTACCTTTTTTTTTAAGCTAGTACAGTTCGCTATACATCAGAAAATTGGATGGAAACTTGATTGTGTATTAACTGAGCATTAAAATCTTAAGAGATTCTTTCTTGCCATTTAATATCTTACATATGTATAATGTGCTGCTATGCTATAACAACAACTTCACCCCCACTTTTGAACTGTTTTGTTTAAATCAGTGGGCCTAATGTGTTCCGGATATTTATCTCCTTGTATTTTAGATATGTGTAGTTGCAAATAGCACCAGGAATTAGATCTGTATACACCCTTAATCTAGCTGAGTAAGCTTCGCCAGTTAATGTCTGCCCTCATTTATAAAACGAGGGAATTGGTCTGCTAATTCAGCTTCTAATTCCTTTAGTTCTGTTTAGCATTTTCATATCCCTTTTTCTGAGGGATATATCTGTTTGGGCAACCAGTTGCATTTTTTAATACTCTGAATTTTGCATGCTTGCCTGACTTAGTATTTCTGAATTGATTTTTTTTATTTTTTAAGGTATAACTTGTGTTGATTTTCACTTAAATCATGGTACTGTCACTACTTTTGTAAATTAATCTGAAATTTAACTTTCAAGGTAACTGGGACAATATGCTTGTAAAAGTGTGTGTTCCCCTTTGCTATTATCATCAGTGTACCTCCTTAATCCCCTTCCAGCCTGATTCACTTATCTTGTTATGAGAATAAGGTGTAACTTTGTGGCTGAAGACTTGCAAAGAATGAAGATAATTCTCAAAATAGTGACATTATCTGAAGCCACAGATTCAGTATCAGACCTGAGAATAAAGATCTTTGGTACTTAAAAAAGAAAAAAGAAATGAAAGTGGGAATATTACTACCGATTCTATAGAAATAAAAAGGATTGTAAGAGATTACTACGAATAATTATATGCCAACAACTTGGATAACCTAGATGAAATGGATACATTCCTTAGAAACATAAAACCTACCAAGACTAAATAATGAAGAAATAGAAAATCTGAATAGACCTATAACTAGTAAGGAGATTGAATCAGTCATCAAAAATCTCCAGCAAAGAAAAGCCCTAGACCTGATGGTTTCGCTGGTGAATTCTACCAAACATTTAAAGAAGAACTAATACCAATCCTTCTTAAACTTTTCCAAAAAATTGAAGAGGCAGGAACACCTGCTAACTCATTCTATGAGGCCCTGATACAAAAGCCAGATAAAGACACTACAAGAAAACTGCATACCACTACCCCTTATAAACACTGATGTAAAAATCCTCTACAACGGGCTTCCCTGGTGGCGCAGTGGTTGAGAGTCTGCCTGCCGATGCAGGGGACACGGGTTTGTGCCCCGGTCTGGGAAGATCCCACATGCCGCGGAGCGGCTGGGCCCATGAGCCATGGCCGCTGAGCCTGTGTGTCCGGAGCCTGTGCTCCGCAACAGGAGAGGCCACAACAGTGAGAGGCCCACGTACCACAAAAAAAAAAATAAAATAAAATAAAAAAAAATTAAAATCCTCTACAAAATACTAGCAAACTAAATTTAGCAGCATATTGAGAGGATTACACACCACAACCGAGTGCAATTTCTTCCTGGAATGCAAGGATGTTTCATCATTCTAAAATCGATCAGCGTAACACTGCACATTAATGGAATGAAGGGGGAAAAGCACATGATCATCTCAATTGATGCAGAAAAGGCATTTGACAAAATTCAACACCTTTTCATGATTAAAATGTTCAACAAACTAGGAACAGACGGAAACTACTTCAACATAATAAAAAACATAAATGAAAAACCCACAGCAAAAATCATACTCAATGGTGAAAATCTGAAAGCTTTTCTTCTAACAACAGAAACAGGTCGATGATGGCTGCTTTTGCCACTTCAGTACTGAAATTGATAACCAGAGCAATTCGGCAAGAAAAATAAATTAAAGGCATCCAGATTGGAAAGGAAGAAGTAAAATAATCTGTTTGCAGATGGTAGGACCTTATGTGATAAACACTAACGATTCCACACAAAAAACTGTCAGAACTAATAAATGAATTCAGAAAATTAGATACAAACTCAATACACAACTGTGTATTTCTATATGCTAGCAATGAAATAAACAAGAATAAGAAATGTTGGCAAGGATGTGGAGAAACTGCAACCCTTGTGCACTGTTGGTGGGAATGTAAAATGGTACTGCTACTATGGAACACAGTATAGCAGTTGCTCAAAAAATTAAAAATGGGATTATCATATGATTCAGCAGTTCCACTGCTGAGTATGTACCCAAAAGAACTAAAAGCAGATATTTACACACCCACGCTCATAGCAGCATTATTTACAATAGATAAAATGTGGAAGCAACCCAAGTACCCATCAACAGCTAGACAGATAAACAAAAAATGGTATTTAGACACACTGGAATACTATTCAACTTTACAAAGGAAGGAAATTCTGACATACGCTACAGCATGAATGAACCTTGAGGACATTATGCTAAGTGAAATAAGCCAGTCACAGAAAGACAAACACTGTATGATTCTACTTTATGAAGTATCTAGTCAAATTCATAGAACACCTGGTTGTTGCCAGGTGGTTGCCAGGAGGTGGGGGGAGTAGAGAATGGGGAGGTATTGTTTAACGGGTATAGAGTTTCAGTTTTGCAAGATGAAAAGACTTAAGGTTATGGAGGCAGATGGTGGTGATGGTTACACGTTATGAACGTATTTAATACCACTTAACTGTACACTTATAATGGTTAAGATGGTCAATTTTATGTTGTGTATACTTTATCACAATTTTAAAATGAAAAAAAAGAGCTAAGATCCACTAGGATCCAGAAAAAAATGTTCCATAGTTGGATGTGGGGCTTACAAACACAACACTGGGGAACTCAATATTGTTTAAGATCAAAGTAACATCTTTTTCCTATAAAAAGCATTCATTTGCTTTGTAAGCATATTTGGGAGTTAAGAAACATAAGTCTGGACTTTCAAGAGCTACATGTCAACTGTCCTGGATTCTCTAACCTCTTAAGCAGCCTTTGGGGGTCCCAGAACATGTTCATTGTAGCCTTTGTCACATTGTAAGGCTTTTTGTGTGGCTGTCTCTCCTAAGAGCCTATGAACATGAGGCAGGACCCTGTTTCCTGCCCAGCACATGATGCTCAATGAATAAATGAAGGAATGAGCAAACGAGTGAGCAGCAGGAGAGAGAGATGCATCTGCAGTTCTAAGGAGGCCGAGGGAAATCAGAGTTTGGGTTCTTCCTGTGGTTCCCTTCATCTATTTCTCTTAACCTCCTTTGCAGCCTCATACCACCTGCAGGAGGCCTTCCCAGATTGTGCCCAGCTACCACACTGAAGGTCTGGACCTCCAGGAGAGTTCCTCCTCCTCATCTGCCCTTCGCCTGGAGGAGGCAGCAGGCAAGGGCTTCACAAAGGGAGGCATAAGCTGCCTAAAAAGGATGTGGTAGGCCAGGGGGAATCAGGCTTTCTGCTCCAGCACCTCCAACCCCAGGCCCTCTAAGAGGGGGAACTGGCATGCTTCCTCATCCCTCCTCAGGGCAGGTGTCCCAACACCTGGTGGAGGCCACTGGGCTGCTCCAGCCCCGCTGGGAAGAAGATGTTGTTCTCCAAGGTGGCATCTTCGTGAGGCTGCTGAAGGGCACGGTTGAGTGCCACAGGCCAAGAAGTCCCTGGTGTGTTGGCTGAATGCTCACCTCCTGTGTCTCCTTTCCTAATGGATGAGAAAACAGCTCTGTTCTCTTTGTCCTTAGAGCTGAGCAGCCTTGCACTAGTCAACTTCTCTGAGCCATAGTTTACTTATCTGTCAAAATGGAGCATGATGCCTACCTCATAGGACGGATGAGGGAAACCTTCAAAGGGCTGAGCATAGGACCTTGCACAAAGTAGGTGCTCAGTACCTGTCAGGAGTCTGGACTGAGTGTAAACTTCAGCCCCAACAGAGGTTAGAAACTGTCCCCAGAGGCCTGGCTGTTGCATCACCAGTTAAACCATGTGATTGAGCTAGTGACAAAGGCTTTGGTGCCTCAGCATCCTGAGATAAAGGACGGGAAAGGCCTGTTTCTCCCATCTTCCTCCCATGAGTGGCACCTGAGAGGGAACCACGGGACGGAGATGGCTTTAGAATAAAACACAAAAGCCAACACATATTGAGCAATCACCGGGGTCAGGCTAAGCCCTTTATGTCCATTAGATCATGTAATCCTTGCAAACACCACGAGGAGGGTACTATTCTCTGCATTTGTCAGTCTTACTTTTATTTATTTATGTTTGTTTATAAATAGACTCTTTTTAGAGCTGTTTTAAGTTCATAGCAAAATTGAGCGGAAAGTAGAGTTCCCTAAAACCCCCTTTCCCGACACATGCACAGCCTCCCTGCCATCAGCATCCCCCAACACAGAGGTGCGTTTTTCTCAATCAATGAACCTACGTTGACACATCATTGTCACCCAAAGTCCACCACTCTTGGTGCTTGTACATTCTATGGGTTTTGAGAAATGTATAATGACATGCAGAGTTTTACTTTTCAATACCAATTTTATTTTTTATCAAAGTAGTACATGCTCAGTGTAATGCTTTGGCTTCAAAGTCAGAGTACAAAAAAGGCTTATATTAAAAACTAACCATGCCTCTTCCCTGCCCTCTCTGCCCTTCCTAACCCCAGGCCCAGGCTCCAGGGGCAGGGTGGCGTCCTTATATACCCAGGGGGCCACACAGTTGGCACCAAAGTACCAAGAACGTCAAAAGGGACTGGAGACAAACAGCACATTAGGGCCAAGTAGCCAGATAGGCTGAGCACACCCTCTGCCCTAAGGGGATCAACCAGGCATCTCAAATAAGACATTCTAGAGGTATTTTAAAATCTTTGCTTGCTTCTTCAGAAGCCCCAGTACTCATTTTCAGGGTTTTGCTGGATGAGGGGAGCTAAAGCCACACACAGGAAGGGCACTATGATGCAAAGCTGCCTGGGTGGAGGGAGATTATGGTTCTGGCTGGCTGCATGGCCTGCGAAAATTTCTCCCCTCTGGACTTTGAGGTCTTTGTGTAAAAAACCAAGGGATTGGACAGGTGATCACTAGGGCCCTGCCTGTGCTGACAGACTGAGTTTGGGCTGCTACTGCTGCTAACAGCCCCATCTCTGGAGCTCTTCCTGTGAGCCGGGTGCTTCCTTGCAACCACCCTCAAAACAGGCAATATTGCCTCATTTTACAGATGAGGATTGAGACTCAGAAGGGCTGTCAGGGCCACACAGCTAGAGAGGGGCAGGGACAAGATTCTAAACCAGAGTGCACACTCTCCTTCCCTGGAGCTGGATCCCTGAGACTTCTGTCCTGTTTTCCCCAAAATAGATGCTCTAGTTTGTGTGTGGCGGGTGGGTGGTTGTGTAGGTAGGTGGGTAAGAGGGGGTCCCATGGCTTCCAGTGACAGCAGGGCCCAGCTTACTTGGCCTCCAGGATTTCAAGCCTCTAGGCCCCACCTCATGGTGAAGACCATTATGCCCACATCCTGTTTAATGCTAATCTCTCCTCCTAGGCCACTGGTTCTCTGCCTTGGCTGTAAATTAATCATCTGGGGAGCTTCGGAAAACAAAGATGGCTGCGCCTCACCTGTAGAGATACTGCTTTAATTGGCCTGGAACAGGGTTCTAGCACTGGTTGGTCAGAAGAGCACCACAGGTGATTCAAATGTGCAGCCAAGCCTGGGAACCTCACATTAGCCTGTCGGCTTACTAAGGATCCTTGTTCATTCCCTCACCACGGCTCACCTGGCGGTGGGGAGTGTCTGCTCTTTGCCATGCCTCCCCTGCCATAAAGGCAGAGCAGCCTCTGTTCTCAGCTGCAATGTAGCTGCCTTTCTCTGTAACAAGCTCTACAGCATCATTACTCTGCTCTCCTGAATTCATTGTCCTCCTGAAAGTAGCCAAGGCCATGATGCTTCTCAGAGATTCTCTGGAACAAAAGCCCCTGGAATCCAGGCCTGCCCTGGCTTGTGGTGTGGAGAGCCCACCTTGCCTGGGTCCTCTCTGCTCTGCATCTTAGGGGAAAAGAACTGGGGAGGACAGGGTTTGTCCCCCACCCAGGCTGCCCTGGGCCTTTTCTGGCTCCTAGGTGAGGCTATCAGCCTCACAAAACCAAAAATGTTCCGTATTAAAAAAAAGGACAAGGACAATTCTGGAAGCTACAAGGGTCTCAGAAGAGAGTCAAGCAAAGCTGAATGCTACCTGAAGGAAGGGAGTCTCCTGTTTTCTGCCTACTGAACTCAGCTACAGAAAGGTGCCTGCTGTGCTCCTGACTTAGGACTCCTATGTGGACTTCGGGCCACAGAAGCTTAGATGCTGATTTTAGAGCCCGCAAGAGAGAAGCAAAGTTGGCAGCAGAAGATCAGGTGAGAGGTGGGCTTGGGGATGCATTGGCAGTTGTAAATAAGCTGAGTCAGAACCAGGAACTGGAAGTGGTAGTGGGGGAAGGTACTCATGGCAGTGCTCTGAGGGGGCCACTAAACATGGCATTCCTTGGCCTGTTCTCATCCTCCATGAAGCCTGGGCTTTGAAGCCACAAATTCATGGCAGGTCAAACCTGGAAGTGTCTGGAAGCCATGTGGCATGTGGTTTTCAAACTGAGTTTATTGGAACTGTAGGGGGTTCTTCAGAATTGGTAGGGACTCTGACACACCATGTCCTGCAACTACCAACATGGCTCTCTTATCTACTTAATGAACAGGTGTACAAGATTTCACTGCGTTAAAATAAAAAGATTCTGTGCTAAAATAATGCTATCAAAATTTGAAAACCATGGATCTAGTAAACTTATGAGGGATGGATGGGGAAACTTACCCAGAGTCACCCTCTAGTCGCTTACCCCTCAGGCCAGGTCTATCCCCACAGCATACCCACTGGCTTTATGGAGCAGACAGCAGGAGGTTCTCTCTGGAGGCCTTCTTGAATGCAGCAACAAAAATGGCCAAGAGAGGAGCCACGTGAGGAAGAGTCACTCTCAAAAGAATGAGTGACCCCAAGACTCAGACTTGCAGACCCTGAAGGGCAGTGTGAAGCTGCCTTGGCTCAATTGTCAAAAGCCCTCAAGATTCTAGTCTGTTCTTACCTTCAGGGAAATGTAAGGCCTTGGCCTGGGAGGTGGGGTCCCTGGATTCTAGGCTGCCCCACCATTTCCTGGGACTTTGGGCCACATTCCTGGGACATTAGCCTTCTCTTTAAGGGAGGAAGCTGGGCACGCTCACTCAGTCCCTAGACTATGGGCCCTTGAGGACAGGACCTGTCATCTCCACTGTGTGCTGCATCCTCCTCAGTCCAAGGGATTCAGGTACAGGGCTAGGCACAGGAATCCTTAACTTCACGGAAAACAGTTTTGTTCATTGGTTTTTAGAACAGGGCTCCCATCAAGTGGCTCTCCTCATCCTCCACATACCAACTGTGACCTTTGACAACAGTGGATGACTTTCCACACTTTCTGTAGTGAAGCTTTCTCCTCCCTCCTGTTTTCTCCCCTGGGTTTGCTCCTCTGGTGGTGAGAATCTCAACACTCCAGAGAGAGTGAACGCTGGGGACTTGCATTTCTTCTCCTTGATAGTCTTTTATCCCTTCTTCCTCTGAGCAGCCCAACAGGTGAAGGTGCCCCAAGGCCATCAGGGCTGCTTATTAATGCAACAGAATTTGGCCGCATGTGCTTGCCCAAGAAGCAGGTGGAATATTCAATAAGTAGATGATCATGGATGGATTGCGCTGAGGGGAAGATCTGGTCCCCAGCTCAGACAGAGGTCTTAACCTCTTTTTGCCATGGAACATCCAGAACACCAGTGAAAAGGACCTTTATATGTACTTATTTGGGGCAGGGCCCTCCTTTCCCACCCTCCCCCTGGGTCTTGAGGGACAAACCCATAGCCAAAGACCACAGCCCCAAGCCCCAGCTGTTCTCACCTCCTGGCAATGACCAGAATCTGAGAAACTGTCTTCTTCCCCAGGTCTCCAACAGATCCCTTCACCCCCTACAACCTAAGCCCTTCAAGACTCCTCTCCAGAGTCCAAAGGCCACTTCTGAAGCCTTCCATCTCCCCAAGTCATGCCCAGTAGTCCCTGATTGTCCCGGTCCCTGGTCCTGTGGGAAGCAGCCAGCTTTGTGACTTCACAAAAGGCTATCCTGTGACAAGTTTGGGCCTGGTGAAGCAGGAGCTGGGCAGAGGGGCTCCCCCCAGGAACATCATGTGACTTTTCATGGAGAGACACCCCTACCTCTGAGGGAATGAAGAGGAACTGCCTCATAGTAAGAGCCCAGGACACCCTCTGCACCTAGAAACACCTCCCCTTGATAACTTCAGCTCCCAGGCCTAACTGGATACTCCTGGCTATATCTGGCAATATCTCTTTGGGGTCCAGGTCCAACGTGGCCAGGTTTGGGGGTGGGGCAGTAGGTGATTACTTCAGGTGGTGGTGGTGGATCTCTGACATCTGAATTGACGGTCAGATCAGCTTTCTTCCATCAAAGTCATTCTGCTCCAGGCCTTTCAAAGTGAAAGAACTGATAGGGTGGGAAGCTTTATCTGACCTGAGTCTTCCTCAGGGCCTACTCCAGCAGTCCCCAGAGTACCTTCAGGTGGGTCAGGCCAGAGATCCCTGAGTCCTGTAGAAAAGTCTTGTGCTTACAAACAGGCATTGTCAAAATCCAAGGGCTTCTCTCTCCAATGCTGACTCCACTGTTGTTTCTTCCCGGAAGGATTTACAATTCTAAAAACCTGAGGCAAAAGAGGTTCCTTACCTCCCCTGTACTTGTTCCCCAACCTCTAACTCTTACCTGGAGCATAGCCTCTGGGTAGAGCAGGGCCCCAGGAGTCAGCAAGGATGATAACTGGCAGCCAGGCTCAGGGATCTGACAGGTCCTGGGAGTAGATGGAGGGCAGAATTTGGGGCTTTTCATGCTCCAGCCCCTGTTTGTGCTGGGCGGGTCCATTGTGAGGGTGGCCCAGGGGACACCATCTCTGGCCATCCTCTCTGGACTCTACTTTGATTGTGACATCGCCATCCTGCCAGAGGACCCCAGGGAAGACAGTGAATGCACTCTGGGCAGGGTTCCAGATGCAGGCTTCATCTCAGCAGGGAGGCAGGGTCGACAGGCTGGTTTGGGGAGGGCAACATGTCTGAATTCACATCTAAGGAGCTCCTTGGCCTTGACTGCCCTCACCCTTGATTGACGGCAGCCTTTTCAGGCATGAGGAGGCCTAGGAGCAGATCCTCTTAAATCCACACTCTGATATGGGGATATATGTATATGTATAGCTGATTCACTTTGTTATAAAGCAGAAATTAACACACCATTGTAAAGAAATTATACGCCAATAAAGATGTTAAAAAAAAAAATCCACCCTCTGACCCACGCAGTTTTTAGTTCTGTGCTGGGACAGAGAGTAGACAGATGGTCCCTAAGAGTGGTTACTCCACTACTTCCCAATGTATCTGAAAATGTGTCCCAGGATTTTTCTGGTAAGGAGCTCATTTCTCATTTTGATGAGGAAAGCTTGAGCTCTTCCAGCAGGCAGTAGTACCGGGGGCAAAGAGAAATCAGCCAGGGCTGAGGTAGTCCTGAAGAACAGCAATAGGGTCAGCCACAGACCAAGAGTAATCACAATAGAAATAGCCACCACTTAGCTAGCACCTCCTGTGTGCCAGAACCCAAGCTAAGCACTTTACAGGCATGGTTCCACTTAGTCCTCATAACAATGCTAGAAAGGAGGTGTTATTCCCATTTTCCAGCTGGAGAAACTGAAGCTCGAGAGGTGAAGTAATTAGGCCAATTACGGGAGCACTAGTGTTAGGATGCAGGTCTGTCTACCTCCAAAGCTAGACTCAAGTGCTGACCTATCTCCTTCTGCAAACTCTGCCCAATAAAGAGGCAAAGAAACTATTTTCTTATCTGTCACCATCGGTGATAGGGTTAAAGAGAGAACGGGGAGAAGGGAGGACTTTGAGCCTGATATTACCCAGATCAGCTTTCGGATAAGGCAACCTTGACTGCTTGGCCCGTCTAATCTTTAATGAGACCCATTGGGAGGCAGCTGTTCTGATTTACTTCTATTTTGCAGGTGATTTAAGTGAGGCCATGGGGGCCATCAAGGGGAGTCCTTGGGGTCTGTGGCTGAGCAGTGGTTCTGAGGTGGGGCTGCTAGATAATATATAGAATGTCCGGTTCAATTTTAATTTCAGATAAAGAATAATTTAAAATATATAAGCATGTCCTCAATATTGCATGGGGCTCTTCTGGGGGCTCCTCACTCTGGCTGGGATCCTGGTATGTGGGAATTGGGGCGGGGCTGGGGGGTCGTTGCTTCATTTCTCACCTGAGTCTTAGGCCCCTCTATGAACTTGTGCCTGTGGGAGCAGGAGATGGTACTGACTTCTGGAGACTGCAGCATCTGTGGCCACTGGACGAGGTGGAGCCTCAGTTTCTCACTCTGTGAAATGAGAATGGTGGATGTGGATGCAGTCATACGGGGTGGTTGCTTTGCACACCTCTTGGGCAACAGGGGTAGTGTTCCATCTTTCTAGGAGGCTGTAGGGGCTCCCAGGAAGGGGGAGGGCACCAAGTGGTTGATTGAATTCCCTTTTTTGTCCAGGCTGGGGTCCCCAGAGCCTGGAAGCCCCGAGCCTCTCCTCGGTGGCTCCTGTGACTCCCGGACACTTGCAGTAGCAGTCTTGCTCAGCAAACAGAGTGGGAATAGATGTGGGACAGGAGGAGGCACAGGAGTTGTGGTGGCACCAGGGTGGCGAAGGGCTAATGGGAGCACCTGGGTCTGGTGAACCTGGAAGTAAGTGAAGGGAAAGAAGGGGTGGTGGAAAAGGGAAGAGGGGGAGATGCGGGAGACAGAGGATAGGGGAAAGAGGAGGAGCATCCTGAAGCTCAGAGGACGTGGTGCTGTTGATTTTCCTACCCCAGTGCATGGGCATGTGTGGGGATGAGGGCAGGTCGGAGCATACCTAAGTCTGTAGCCCTTCGTGCTGGGACCAGGGCTGGGCTGCTCTTGCTCTCCCTTTGCCACTGGGCAGCCCTGCAAGCATGACTTCTTGCCCTTTTGGATGGTGGCTGCTGCTTTTTGAGGCATACCATAAGGGGAGATGGGCACACGCAGAGCAGAGGGAGAGTCCAGAAATGTTCTTCTAAAGAGGCCAAGGAATCTCTTTATCCAATGATTCAGGTGTGATGTGCCAGGTCAAGATGGGTGTGGGGGCCTGATTTATCTGTAGCTTTGTACTTGCACGTACTTAGATGTGAAAGTGTTGGCTGTGAGGACTGGTGCCAGTGCATGGTAGTGCATGCTTGTGTCTCTGGCACATGTTACCTTGGCCTACGAAATGTGACAGTGAGTGTGCTTGAAATGTGTCTGCAGCCCAGAAAACCTGAGGGCAGTCTTTTCTCCTTCCCAGAGCGGGAGTCTGGAAGTGCCTGCAGGTCTGCGGCTGCAGGTATGTGGGGGGGCTTTCGGCAGAGGTATGGGGGGCACAGGCATTATAGAACAGAGATTATGGAGGAAGCAGTTGCTAGACAGGTCTTATATAGCTCCTGTTCTGCTTCCCTAGCCTCCTGGGCCCTGGCTTCTCCAAAGGCCCTCTGGCATGCCCCTTATTCCCATCATTTACCCAGGGCCCCAGGCTGATTTTCTGAAGGGGAGCAGTGCCATCTGGTGGCAGGCTGAGGCTGTGCCAAGGGGAGGCAAGCTGGAACCTGGGTTCCCACAAGGGATCTGCGTTTCAGGACCTCAGTCAGTGGGGAAGTCACCACCACACTGGCTAGATCATGGAAAAAGGGAGGGTATCTAAGGCTTGAGTGCTCCACTCTCATGCATTTTGGGTTCATGACCCGGGGAGGCATGGCAGGAAAGTCAGGTGAAGGATTGCTGTAGCACCGATGTAGGAAAGTTATCAGTCCAGCCTGTGGACCCATGAACCTGGGCCCCATTCCTTGGGCCACCAATCTGGGCTCAGATTTCTCATCTGTGTAGGCGGCAAACTGTACCTACCCTGTGGGGTGGTAGTGAGGGTTATATGAAAAAGTGTGGTTAAAACACTTGGCTCAGAGCTATATAAAGTCAGAGGTAATGGTAGTGGCCATTACAGGCAAAGTCCCAGAAGCACAGAGAGCTATGTGTTGTGGCAGGTGAAAGCGTTGCAGAGAGGTGGCACATCTGCCACACTGCCACCCAACATTCTAGAATTTTGTGCCTGAGTATCACCTGTTTCAAGTTATATACTTAAGAGGAGGGAAGTCTCTTTTCTGGAAAGCGGGGAATGGGGTCCGGTGGGGAACAGAATCAAGAGACCCAGCACCCAGGCTCTGGCTAGCTTCTTAATCTAGCTATGGAACCTGAGCATGGCAGACGGCTTGCTGTGTCCCATGTTCCCCATGTGAAAGTGCTGACTGTGAGGACTCCGTAAAAATGCACAGAAACTTACTCAGGACTCCCAGAGATAAAGGGTCGATAGGATCTTGTCAGGGAGAGATTCTGCTCAGCTGTGGAGTTTACCTTTCACGTCTCCAAAAAGGGATCCCCAAGTCAGAGTCAGGAGTCGTTCTGGTTCTGCTGCTAATTGGTTGTGTGATGTGAGTCAAGTCACTCTCTCCGGGTCTCACTTTTCCCAGCTGCAAAATAAAGGAATTAGATGACCTCTGAGGTCAGCTCTGCCTTAATCTATGTCCTTTTGATTTTTTCCTTTTCTCTGCCTCACATGTAATACCTAGGATAAATATTTATTGATCCTACAGGCTAGGTCTTGAACAGGAAGACCAGAGCCTTCTGCTTAATGACTGATGTGATTTCTCATACACTTCGGGAAATATTTTCTTAGATCCTGGTAGGTTCTAGGTATAACGGGGCCAATGGGAGAATAAAACAACGGCTCTTCCCTGTCACACAGGGCCGAATAGAGTACTGGGGAGGTATCCAGCCGTTTGGGCTGGCAGAATCGAGTCTCTCGCTTTTCGCTTCCGCCTTCCTGAGCAGCCAATGAGTACGTAGCAGTTCTCGTTTACACTAAAAACTACAAACCCCAGAAGTCAACGCGCGGGGCAAAACTGCTCACACGCCAATCAAGACTTGGTGGGCTCCGCCCCTAGAGGCGGAACTTCATTTTCCACGCGACTTCGGCTCGTAGATATTCCTCCGCTTGCCCTGGCGTTCTCCTCCCGCCTCCTGCCAGCAAGCCTCGCGCCAAGTCGGGTGATGCGCGCGCGCGCGCGCAGCGTACGTAGCGAACGAGTGACGCATAATATGTGGGCCGCTCCGGAGTCGCGGTCGCGTTGTGTGTGAGTGAGGGGGAGAGAGTGCGGGACCAGAAGCGGCGTGTGTGAGCTGTGGCCGCTGGCGGGGTCAGCGGGGAGCGGCGGAGCCGCCCGGGAAGGTGAGTGGGGAAGGGAGGGAGACGGCTCTGTGGCAGGGGCGCGAGGAGACAGGGTGCATGGTCGGGCGGGAGAGTGGGCGCCGGGCTGGGGGAGGGGCGGCACCTGCCTGGGCCGCTGGCTGGGAGGGGGCGGGCCGGGCCTCCCGGGAGGCTTGGTCCGGGGCCTGACAGTACTTTTCATCCTCCAGATTCTTGGCTCAGGGGCGGGGCCTCCACGTTCTTCCTATAGTCCGCAAAAGAAGCTTTCCAAGAGTAACTCTTCCGCCCGGATTGGGGGGCAAGGGTGTGCCCACCCCTGTCTTGGGGAGGGGCGCCTCTCATTCCTCTCATCACCTTTTACCTCTCAGTCCTCCCAGTCTTCGTTACGTACGGGCCGGGGGGTGGGGGTGGGTGGCTCCATCTTCCATGTCGTATGGCGGTCCCCTGCCCATACTGTGTCTCCGCCTTTAGCTCCAGTCACCTGGGCCGGCTCTCTCCTCCCTCGGCCGCGTGCCACCTCCCCTTGCACCCGCCCGGCTCTTCGTCCGGCGAGGGGGGGCGGGCTCTCTGGGCACTCCTCCCACACACACACACCCCCGCCCCCATGATGGAGGGGAGGGGTGGAAGGAGAGGTGTCCGGGTCCTGCAGCTTAGAGCCAAACCTTGGAGTGCCCGCCAAGCTTCCCGGGATCCTGTTTCCGGGGGTTACAGTCGTTTTTAACTGGATGTCAGGCATTTGCTTAACTCCCTCTTCCTAGACGGTTTGCGTCTCACTTCCTCTTATTGCACTGTTAGCGCTTGGCTTTTGCTTGTGCTGAAGAAGTAGTTTTGGTCTTTTTGAGTCCCAGATGACTCGTCCTTGACTATGTCACGTTTGCCTCAGTTTTTCCTTACTGTCTTTTCAATGAAGCCTTTTAATTAGTCTACAAGTTTTAATTATTAACAGCATTTCCTGTTCTAAACGCTTTGTTAATGTACAGAGTGAGGGGTTCATTGGCAGTGTTGTCCTGTAATCTTGTCTCAGTTTACTTTTAAGGTTTTTGTAAGCTTGCATAATTAGACTTTTTAGGAATCGATTTGCTATCCTTCTTGACGCTGTCAAGATTTGGGTTTTGTATATTACACTTATCCATTTTCGAGTGGTGATATATTTTTGGATGTAAAGGAAATAATAGATACAGAATTTGGGAACTGTGAAGGAAATCCTTTTATGATCAACGTTTCTTGAGTAGTTGCTGAGCACAGTGTTTTACTATGTTATCTGCTGTACAGTAGTTAAACTTTATTGAGGAGGAATCTGGTGGAATGAACCACATGTTGGTTTGAAGTGATTGAAGTTGGTTTGTTACCAATGTTGTTTCTGTCATGGTCATGGACAGTAATAGAGTATTGTTATACATGATCTAATATGTTATACTAATTATTAGGTAAATTTTACTTGAAGCTCCAAACTTGGGTTTTTTCCCAGTGGGTTTTTTTCTTTCTTTCTTTCTTTTTCTTTTTTTTTTTCGCGGTACGCGGGCCTCTCACTGCTGGTGCCTCTCCCCCTGCGGAGCACAGGCTTCCGGACACGCAGGCCCAGCGGCCATGGCTCACGGGCCCAGCCGCTCCGCGGAATGTGGGATCTTCCCGGACCGGGGCACGAACCCGTGTCCCCTGCATCGGCAGGCGGACTCTCAACCACTGCGCCACTAGGGAAGCCCCGCGTGAACTTTTTTTTTAGGCTTTGGGATAGTTTTTGCCAAATAGGCCATATAGTATTGTGTATTAGAAGAGAACAGGTTTTATGGATTAACTCAGAAGTTACAAAAGGTAACAAAATAGTGGAAAATGGTAGAGCTAGGATAGTAACATATAGTGACAAAAATCTTCTACCTTTATCCTTCAGAAGATCAGTTACTTGCCACAAAAGTAATAGTTATTATCTGTTTCTTATATATTCTTCCAGGGACACACACAGACACACACAGACACACACACGCAAAAGCAGAGTGTTCTTTGCTTTTCTCACTTGACAGTGTACTGAGAGTTGGTCCAAATTAGGAAAGGAAATTCTTATTAGTTTTCTCCTACTTTATTTAGTTTTGGCTGGGTTGGGTCTTTGTTGCTGCACGTGGGCTTTCTCTAGTTGCAGCAAGGGGGGGCTACTCTTTGTTGCGGTGCATGGGCTTCTCATTGCAGTGGCTTCTCTTGTTGCGGAGCATGGGCTCTAGGTGCACGGGGTTCAGTAGTTGTGGCACTCGGGCTTAGTAGTTGTGGTGCATGGGCTTAGTTGCTCCGCGGCATGTGGGATCTTCCCGGACCAGGGCTTGAACCTGGGTCCCCTGCATTGGCAGGCGGATTCTTAACCACTGTGCCACCAGGGAAGCCCAGGTTACGAAAATTCAGAATAATGTAAATAAATTACTTAACCAGATGTCTATCTCATACAGATATTCAGTAATTGGTAACTATTGTATCACTATTAGGCCATAAATTCTGCATGTAAAATGAAATTGAATGGAAAATGAATACTTATTTATTCATCTAGATTCAACACTTGTTATTAATATTTTGCCATGCTTTCTCTTAGTAGGTAGATGTGGTATATATTTATTTTGTGGAACCATTTGAAAATAAGTTGCAGACACAGCACCCCTAAATACTTTGGCAGGCATCCTTCAGGATAAAGACTTTTTTTTGACCGCACTGCGTGGCTTGCGGGATCTTAGGTCCCCTACCAGGGATCAAACCCGGGGCCCCAGCAGTGAGAGCGCCAAGTCCTAACCACTGGACCATCGGGGAATTCCCTCTACATATTTTTTGTAGGGCTTTATATTATTCCATTGTATGGACAGTGTTATTATTTAACCCTCGCAACAACTATTTCCATTTTACAGATAAGGAAATTGAGATTTGGAGAAGTTAAATAACTTGACCAAGATCTCACAGGTATGTTGGCAGAGTTGGGATTTGAATGCTTGAACCCCTTTTCTACCAAGTACCAATTGAGTGGTCTTGGGGACTTCTCTGAGCCCTTTTCCTCATCTGTAAAATAAGGGCAGGGTGGTTGTGAAAATTCAGAATAATGTAAATAAATTACTTAAACCAAATGTCTATCTCATACAGATATTCAGTAATTGGTAACTATTGTATCACTATTAGACAGGCCATAAGTTCTGCATACCACCTAAAGAGCTCACTTTGGAACATGGTGAATTGAGTAATGTACCTTCACTGTCTTGTCTATAACAAGATTACTGCACCTTTTGCATTTTGTTAATCTTTCATTGAGAGTAAAATGAATTATCATTGATACTATTCCTTTATTTTAAGTTTATATTTTCCCTGGGCAAGTGAATATTCCCAAAGTTATAATTATTTTTAGGCATAGTTAATTGGAAATTTTGAAAATGATACCAGAAGTACATGTGTGTTTCTAAATTGAACTCTAAAATTTTACTTTTTTTTTTTTTTTTTCGGTACGCGGGCCTCTCACTGTTGTGGCCTCTCCCGTTGCGGAGCACGGGCTCTGGTCGCGCAGGCCCAGTGGCCACGGCTCACGGGTCTAGCCTCTCCGCGGCATGTGGGATCTTCCTGGACCGGGGCACGAACCCGTGTCCCCTGCATCGGCAGGCGGACTCTCAACCACTGCGCCACCAGGGAAGCCCTAAAATTTTACTATTTTAATGCCCTTGAGTTGACCTTTGTTAGAGGTAGTATTTCTTTTAAACTTTGCCTTTATAAGCCCTACTAGGCTGATTGCTTAAGTTATCCAAGAGGCATTCCCTCCTGGACCTTTCTTCCCCCCATTAAAAAAAAAAATTTTGGTAAAATTGACATACCATAAATTAACAATTAACCATTTTAAAGTGCACAATTCAGTTGCATTTAGTAGATTAACAATGTTGTGCAACCATTACCTCTTTTAGTTCCAAGACATTTTCATTACCCCAAAAGGAAACCCTACATTCATTAAGTAGTCACTCCCTATTTCCCCCTCCCCCAAGTCCCTGGCAACCACTAGGTAGCTTTCTGTATATGGATTTACCTATTCTGAATGTTTCATATAAATAAAAACATAGACTATGTGACCTTTTGTGTCTCACATTTTTCGCCTGGCGTATTGTTTTAAAGGTTCATCCACAGCTGTAACATGACTCAGTACTTCATTCCTTTCTACGGCTGAATAATACTGCATTGTATGAATATAACCACATTTTGTTTATCCATTTATCTGTTGGTGAACATTTGGGGTTGTTTCCACCTTTTGGCTCTTGTGAATATGCTTTGAACATTTGTGTACAAGTGTTTGAATATCTGTTTTCAATTTTTTGGGGTATGTAACTTGGAGTGGAACTGCTGGGCCATATGGTAATTCTGTGTTTAACTTTTTTTTTTTAACTTTTTGAGGAGCCACCAAACTGTTTTCTATAGCTGCTGTACCATTTTACATTCCTATCAGCAGTGTACATTCTAGTTTCTCCACACCCTTGCCAGTGCTTGTTTTCTAATTTTTTGCGTTTGGTCATCCTAGTTGTATGATTGGTATCTCATTGTGGTTTTGTTTTTCATTTCCCTAATGGCTAATGATGTTGAACATCTTTTCATGTACTTGTTGGCCATTTGTATATCTTCTTTGGAGAAATATCTGTTCAAGTCCTTTGCCCATTTTTGAATCAGGTTTTTTTGTCATTGTTGAGTTGTAGGAGTTCTTTATATATTACGGATACTAGATCCTTATCAGCTATATGATTTGCAAAGATTTTCTTCCATTCTGTGGGTTGTCTTTTCACTTTCTTGATAATGTACTTTGACGCACAAAAGTTTTAAATGTTGAGGTCCAATTTATCTATTCCCTTGTTGCTTATACTTTTGATGTCAAATGAAAATCCCTTGCCAATTTCAAAGTCATGAAGATTTACCTCTAAGAGTTTTATAGTTTAAGCTCTTATATTTAAGTCTTTGATTCATTTTGAGGTAGTTTTTGTACATGGTGTGAGGCAAGGGTCTGACTTCATTCCCTTGTATGTGGATATCCAGTTGTCTCAGCACAATTTGTTGAAAGAACATTGGTCTTTCTAGTAATGGTCTAATGGTCTTTCAACAAATTCTTTCCCTGTTGACTGGTTTTGGCCCACTTGTTGAATATCAATTGACCATAAATGTGAGATTTTATTTCTGGACTCTCAATTCTATTGCATTGGTATGTATGTCTTTCCTTATGACAGTACCATACTATTTTGATGATCGAACTTTGTAGTTTTGAAGTCGGAAGTGTGAATTCTCTAACTTTCTTCTTTTTCAAGATTGTTTTGGTTATTCAGGATCCCTTGCAATTACATATAAATTTAGGATTGATGTTTGCACTAATGCAAGAAAGGTCATTGGGATTTTGGTAGGGATTGTACTGACGGTTGACCACTTTGGAGAGTATTGCCTTCTTAACAATATTAAGTCTTCTAATCCATGAACACAGGATGTCTTTCCATTTATTTAGGTCTTCTCTAAGTTATTCTAGCAATGTTTTGTAGTTTTCCTTGTGGAAGTCTTGTGCCTTTTTGGCTTAAATTGATTCCTTAGCATTTTGTTCTTTTTAGTGCTATTTTAAGTGAAATTGTTTTCTTAATTTCATATTGGATTGTTTATTGCTCGTACATAGCAATACAACTAATTTTTGTGTGTTAATCTTATATCCTGTAACTTTGCTAACTTGTTTATTAACTATAGTTTTTATTTATAGATTCTTTAGGATTTACTATATATAGGGTCATGTCACCTGTGAATAAAGATAATTTTACTTCTTCCTTTCCAACTTGGATTGCTTTTATTTTTCTTGTCCAGTTGCTCTGGCTAGAACTCCAGTACAGTGTTTAAGTGGTGAAAGCAGGCATCTTTGTCTTATTTCTGATTTTAGGGGGAAAGCTTTCAGTCTTTCACTATTGCGTATAATGTTAGCTGTTGGGTTTTTTTTTTTTTTTTTTTTTTGTTTTGGGGGCCTCTCACTTTTTTGGCCTCTCCCTTTTTTGGGCACAGGCTCCGGGCGTGCAGGCTCAGCGGCCATGGCTCACGGGCCTAGCCGCTCCGCAGCATGTGGGATCCTCTCAGACCGGGGCACGAACTGGTGTCCCCTGCATCGGCAGGTGGACTCCCAACCACTGCGCCACCAGGGAAGCCCACTTTAATTGATTTTCATATGTCAAACCACCCTCGTATTCCTGGGTTAAATCCCACTTGGTCATGATATCTAATCCTCTTAATATGCTGCTGCATTCATCTTTCTAGTATTTTGTTAAGGATTTTTGCATCTATTTTCATAAAAGATGTTGGTCTATAGTTTTCTTGTGATGTTTTCATCTGTCTTTGGTGTCAGGGCAATGCTGGCTTTATGTAAAAAATTAGGAAGTGTCCCTCCTCTTCAATTTTTGGAAGAATTTGAGGATTGATCTTAATTCTTCTTTAAATGTTTGGTAGAATGTACCAGTAAAGCCATCTCTCTCCTGCACTTTTAGGATGTGTCTTAAGAGATTAATTTTGTTGTTACCACATATTACTACTTTGCCCAGTCTCTAGGTCTCTTAACTTAGCATAAAATTTTACTGTTGAAAAAAACTGGTTAAATTATTGCCCCTCTCTACCCCCTGGCTAACACTCCTCCAGATTGGCAAGGTCATAAAAACGAGGAAAGACTCAAAAACTGTCAGAGACCAGAGGACACTAGGGAGACATGAAAACTAAATGTCATGTAGTAGCCTGGATGAGATATTGGAACAGAAAAAGGACATGAATGGAAAAACTGGTGAAATCTGAATCAAGTCTGGAGTTTAGTTAAGATAATGTACCAGTTTTTGGTTTCTTAATTTTGACACCATATCACTATAAAATAAGGTAACATTAGGGAAACCTGAACTGAGTTAGGGGTATATGGGAATTCTCCCTACTATCTTTGCAACTTTTTTTTTTTTTTTTACAAATCTATAATTATTCCTATTAAATTTATTTTAAAAAATGCATATATAGTTAGTAGATTGCAATCAGAAATACAGCCTAGGTCTTTCAAGTTAAGGTCAGAAATCCATATTAGTTGGTCACATCTGTAGTATATCTTTGGCCAGAAAGACTGAAAATGTGGATTCTTTGTAGAAAAGCATTTTAACTTTTTTTTCTTTTCTTTTTTGGAAATATCCTTTGGAGTAAGGGGTAGCTCAGGTGACATGAATCACTCTACTATTAGAATTGCGTCAACTTGATTAAAACATAAAGGTTTAAAATTTCGAGAGTTGGTGGTAAATATATTTCTTTTGGTCTTATGGTAGAAGAGTGAACAATAATCCTAGATGAGCTAGTAATGCCTTTGTGGACTGAAACTTTTTACAGAACAGTTGCTATTTCTGTGAAAATACACATTTTGCATGGCAGGATTTGACATTTTGATCCTAAGAGTGCTTTGGCAAAGAAGTTGATCTGTAAACCATCTAAACGTTTGGGTCTCATTTATTCCTTTTGGAGTTCCTTATAAACCTCTCTTCCCCGTGTGGATGTCACATGCGGCTCCTTCAGAGCCTGTCTCATGTCCCTGTCCTTTTGTACCCCTGGGCTGATCACTCAACCCAGCAACTTTTTATGCCTTTCTCCAGCCTCTTATCCTTCCAGAAGATCAGCTAGCTGTGAGACAGATTAGGAAGGCTGAAGGACGAATGGGTTTATAATATTCTTTCTTAGCTTTCATGTTGGTAATGATATCCACTTCAGTTCTTGATCTGTTGTTAAGAATTAACAGGAATGTGTTGCTTATCTGTCATAGAACTTTCCCTGAAGACTTACAAGAGCAAAATATTTCTGGGAGTAGTTTTTGCTGTATTCTGTATTTAAAAAAAAAAAAAAGCCTCAAAGCTTTGGACCAGAGATCTAGACTTGGGATTATTATACATGTGGTGTATAGGTACAGGTTGTAGAGTGTTCCTGTGAAACCTTTCGTAAGCTGAAATGACTTGAAGAGGCAATTACCTTAGGGCACATCTTGCTCAGGGATGTACAGAAATTGAGATAAAGCACAGATGCTCACAGGCACAATTCAAAGCTGTAGCAGCTTGCTGTCGAATGTAGTTCCCATGGAAGGAGCTTGGCGGGGCCACTCTCACTGCTTGGGGTGCACACTGCATTTATAATGGCGCTGCAAAGCAAACACAGTGCTGTTTTTGCTTTTCGCCTTTTTTCGTAAAAGCAGAAGTCCTCTTCAGATTTCTTTGGGTTAACGAAACCAGATACTAATGTAGTTCTTTCATAAAAACGAAATGGCATAAAGCGAACTTCTCTGAAAAGCAGGGATACCTGTATGTGTGTTTCTGAGGGGAGAAAGGAACCATAGGTTTTGTCTGATTCTCAGGAATTCCTGATCCTAGAAAGGTTAAGAATCATGATTTTGATCCAGTACCCTGTCTCATTTGACAGTCTAGCAAACTGAGGTTGAGAGAGAAGAAAAGACTTGTCATGACTTGATGAGTATCCAGGCTCCCAATCCTGGGTTTCCCACTGTACCACAAATAAAATTATCTACAGGGTCCAAGGGTTAAATTTCCCATGCTTTTAGTTATTTCCCTTGCTTGTGCATCCCTTTTTTCGTCCCTCCTCACTTTTCTTTTCATAGGAAGTATGTCAAGTTTATTTGCCTGTGTTCATTTGTGTGTGTGTGTTTTTCTTTTTTTTTTTTTGCTTCCTTAGGCCAAGTCATGACTACAGTAGCGGTACATGTGGACTCCAAAGCTGAGCTCACTACCCTGCTGGAGCAGTGGGAAAAGGAACATGGCAGTGGGCAGGACATGGTACCTATCCTTACCAGGTATGAACAATTAAGTTGTTTTTTTTTTTTTAAAAAAAGGAAAAATTGGGAATTCCCTGGCAGTCCACTGCCGTGGGCCCAGGTTCAATCCCTGGTTGGGGAACTAAGATCCTGCAAGCCACACAGCGTGGCCAAAAATGAAAAAAAAAAAAGGAAAAATTGGAGAATGTTATAGAACATTTTCACTTTGTGAATTCTTTTGGTTTTTTTTCCATAGAAGTTTTTTTAATGGTTCTACTAATAAAATATTTGTTTGCAGGAAGAAAAAAATTTCCCCAAAACTAGAAAAGCATTTTTAAAGCAATTTTCCAAATTACAATGTTAAACTCATCTCCAGCTCTGTAAAAGCATATGACACGAGATCTTTAAAGTTTCACTGCATTTCAGGATTGTTCTTGGAAAAGATACTCTGCCAGAAAATCAATGGGGTCATTGGGTCTGACCTTACTACACTCATTCAGACCCTGCATAAGCATTGGCATAATGTAGACCATTAAATAGCTTCTCAGGAGAATAGAATGGGCCTTCAGTAATTCTCTTTCTTCTCTTTTCACTTTCTCTAGTTTATTCTCACTTCTCAGAGCAAAATAATTTCTGGCTACCCAGATGAAGCAAAGTGAGAGAGCGGAAGGAAGGAAGGAAGGGAGAGAGGGAGGGAAAGAGAGAGAGACAGAAAGACAGAAGGAAGGAAGGAAGGAAAGAAAGGAAGGAAGGAAGGCTCACTTCATGAATTCTCAATCCATATTTTTTCCCTGTCAGAACTAGTCTTTTATCTCTCTACTTCTTGAACCTTGTTAAAATTTCTTCCCTTTCCTCTTAGGCCCTTTTGTTGTCATTCTCTTTCCAAGGTTCTTCTCCTGCCAATGTTTTAGCGCCAAGGTTTTGTTTGTGGTTCTCTTCTCTCTTCACCCTAAGTATTCTACCTAGATAGTTTTATCTCTGTCCATGATTTAAAAAATTATTCTCATGTTAACTTTCAAATTTCTATTTTCACTTCAGACTCCTCTTTTTAAAAATTTCAGACCCATTTCTCAGCTGATTGGTGTACACATGTTTAGCTGGTTATTCCACAGACACCTGAAACATACTGTGTTCAAAATAGAGCTTATCATCTTCATCCTACCTCCCTCTTCATTCACAGTTTGTGCTTTTGTACTCCCTGCCTTGGTGTAAATAGTTATAAACTAAAAACTGAAAACCATTCTCCCTAGTGTATTCCTTTACTAGCACAACTTAGTCACCAAGCCCTGAGGGTTTCTGCTTCCTCTTCTTCCCCATTCGCACTTCCTTTATTAGGTATTGATCATGTCTTGACTGGCTCATTAGGCAGTGTGCATTATCCCTCTGTCTACAGTTTACCCTCTTCTAATATATCATCCCCTTTGCTGAAAGATTTATCTTTTTCATACACAAATCTGATTGTCATACCTCAGCTCATAATTCTTCCCTGGCACCCTTTTCCTTCAGAATGAAATGTAATTTAGAGTGGCCTATGAGGCCATTTATGATTTAGTCTGTACTTCCTTTTTCTGCCTCATAGTGTTGTTCTTCAGAGAGGAATAGAACCATATTTTCCAGTGTCTGTGTGCCTTTACACTTGCTGTTTCTTTGGCCTGAAATGCCTTTCCTTGGTATATCTGCCTGGCAAGCTCTAGTCCTTTCAGGAAGCAGTTCAAGAATCATGTCTTGGGGCGTCCCTGGTGGCGCAGTGGTTGAGAGTCCGCCTGCCGATGCAGGGGACACGGGTTCGTGCCCCGGTCTGGGAGGATCCCACATGCCGCGGAGCGGCTGGGCCCGTGAGCCATGGCTGCTGAGCCTGTGCGTCCGGAGCCTGTGCTCCGCAACGGGAGAGGCCACAACAGTGAGAGGCCCATGTACCGAAAAAAAAAAAATCATGTCTGTAAATACCATATGATATCACTTATATGTGAAATCTGAAATATGACACAAATGAACCTATCTATGAAACAGAAATGGAATCATGGACATAGAGGTTGCCAAGGGGGTTGGGGGAGGGATGGAGTGGGAGGTTGGGATTAGCAGATGTAAGCTTTTATATATAGAATGGATAAACAACCAGGTCCTACTGTATAGCACAGAGAATTATATTTAATATCCTATGATAAGCCATAATGGAAATTTTGGAATATTTGAAAAAAGAATGTATGTATATGTATATATATGTATAACTTAATCACTTTGCTGTACAGCAGTAATTAACATTGTAAATCAGCTATACTTCAATTAAAAAAAATCTTTCCCCCATTTTAATTACCACTTGTATTATAATTATCTTTTTACATGTGTCTCCTCACTAAATTGTAAGTCTTTTTTGAAGTCAGGTACTACTCATTTTTATTGGTGTCTCCTTGTGTTGCCTCAGACACTGACTTGCCCAATGCTTGGTACATAGTAAACTGTGTGGGACATAATTTTATTGAATGAATGTGTTAAGGAAGAAGAGAAAGTGAAAAAAAAAAAGGTTGGGTTGGGATGCGCATGGTTTTTCTGAGCAGGAAGCCTCTGGAACATGGGGCTCTTTAACATCTAATCTGTAATATCATAGCAGAGAAAAAAAACTTTGTTTATGCAATGATCTATTCTCTAGGGATAAAGAGAACTATGATCTTATGACAGTTTAAACAGGGATAAATGCTTTGTTCATAATTGCTCTTGATAGATGGGGAACATGTGAAAGTACAGTTTTTTTTTAGGGAAAGGATTATTGCTGACTGGTGGAAAGTGGATTTTCATTTGTAGAGGCATTGGACATTAAGAACTATTAATCGCAAGCTACTTGAAGTGCAGCCACAGTGAATTAAAGAATCTTAAGTATTGTGCATTTAACGTGTGTGGATTATTGATTGATGTACCTTTGAAAGGAGGAGAGAGTCATGAATGGGGATGATAGTGTTAGTGGTAGATTCATTTAATTGCTCAAAAGATATAAAATATTTTTTAATACTTTATTTTCGGGAATTCCCTGGTGGTCCAGTGGTTAGGACTCGGTGCTTCCACTGCAGGGGCCCGTGTTCAATCCCTGGGCAGGGAACTAAGATCCTGCAAGCTGCGTGGTGAGGCCAAAAAAAACCCCAAAACCAAAAAACTTTATTTTCAGGATTATTTCATATTAATTATCATATTTGACCCTGAACTTTGTCATTATGCTATGGTATTCAGCAGTGCAAAGCCTAAATGGAGGGACCCTATCTTCAAGGAGATAACCATCTGGGAGGCAACTAATGGCTCCAAAAAATGCATAGTAGTACAAGATAGCATATAATGAAGTGCTAGATTGGCAGTGTGGTTTGTAAATATTCTAGGGGTTAGGAGAATGGAAAGAATTTGAATGAGTCCGTTTCTTCTATTCATTCAACAAATATTTGAGGACCTTTTGTGTGTCAGAACCGTAGGAGACACTTCTCTGAACCTCAGCTTCTTCATTTGTCACTAAAAGTATGAGAGCTACATTGTTAAAAGATAGCCACCATCCTCTGAGCTGCTTGCAAAAGACTATAGGACTTCCCTGGTGGTGCAGTAGTTAAGAATCCGCCTGCAATGCAGGGACCACGGGTTTGATCCCAGGTCTGGGAAGATCCCACATGCTGCGGAGCAACTAAACCCATGCACCACAACTACTGAGCCTGCGCTCTAGGGCCCGTGTGCTGCAACTACTGAAGCCCGTGCACCTAGAGCCCGTGCTCCACAACAAGAGAGAAGCCACTGCAACGAGAAGCCCGCGCACCACAACAAAGAGTACCCCCCTGCTTGCCGCAGCTAGAGAAAGCCTGCGTGCAGCAACAAAGACCCAGCGTGGCCAAAACAAACAAAAAAACAAAACAAAAAAACCCAAAAGACTATAGCCAGGCAGTAGAAAGCTAAGGTTAAAATACTGGGTTTTAACTCCAATTCCAGTGGGCTTTCCAGTGTAGGATGTGGTAAAGGTTCCTTGGAACAGGTACTTGAAAGTTGGTAGAATATACCTTGATTGAAAGCAGAGACAAGGTTTTCTAGGAAAAGTTCAAATGTGACTGAAAAATGTATCTAGGGGAGAATGAACTGGGGCATGTTTTTGTGGCAGTGAGGAAATGGGCCCTGCCAGAGTGGAGGGTGAATATAAGGTAGGAATGGAAGATAAAGTTATATGGAGCAAGATCTTAAAAAGATCTTTAAGGTTAGGCTGGGACTTTAAAAGACAGTAGGATGAATTCAAAGTATAGTTTATTTTAGATAGGGGCAAAACTCTTACCATCCTTCAAATTGTGGGTCTGTTAGTTCACTGGCTATTTCCTAAAGTATCTTCACATCTGTCATCCTTCTCACCCTGCAAACTGGCTTCAGTTTGGGTGTATTGCATGAAAAGCAAATGAATTTCAGGCCTACCTGCTCCTTTACTGACTATTTTTTAAAATGATCTTTTGGCTATTTTCCTAAGAAAAATGTACAACTCTATAACTTGATTGACTTTTTATTTTTTATGTTGTTTTATTTATTATAATCAAGACTTCGACTTAATTCTGTGAAAAAGGACTGGCATTGCGCCAAGCTGTATGAGCTTAACCCAGGTTTTGTGTTTTTTTTTTATATTATTGAGATATAATTTATAGTCCACCCACGGTTGCTTGACTCTCTGGATGTGGAGGGCCAACTGTACTATGCCATTTTATACAAAGGACTTGAGCATTAGAGGATTTTAGTATCCCTGGGAGGTCCTGGAACCAATTCTCTGTGGATACTGAGGGATGGATTGTTTACTTACAAAATCATCACCTAGATCAAATTATAGAACTTGAGTACTACCTCCAGAAGGCTCCCTCCTGCCCCATTGCATCAGTATCTACCTTAGATTAATTCGTTTTCTATTTGTTATTGATTCCCAGTTTCCATAGGAACACCACCTAAATAGCTCTGACTTAAGTTCTGTTTTAAGCAGACTACATATATTAACTTTTACTTCAGGGAAACTCTGTAAGATAGGGACTGTTATCTTCATTTTACAGATTAGGTGCAGAGAGGTTAAATAACTTGACCGAAGTCACAAACAGGGGAAGAGATATGATTTGAACACTGGCCATCTGGCTCCAGAATCCATGTTTTTAACTTCTGCTGTGCTATATTGCTTAGTTTCCACTGAAGATACTAGTAGATCTTATAATATGTAATTTAAAATACATTTTATGTGATCATCCTTTGTGGCAAAGAGAGTTTTCAGAGTTTAGGGGGAAAGGTAGAAAAGGTAGAAATACTTTTGAGGCTTGATGGGGAAAAATATACCAGAGTGCGCAAGACTTTTTGCAGGGAGCTTAACCCTTAAGACTAGAAAGTATGGTTTTGTGGAAATAAAGCATGCAGGAAAATTTGAGTTAGGATAGAGCATCCTAGATACTGGAGAGCATGAAAGCCTTTTATTTGATTGTCATTATAATAGGTTAAAATGTCAGTCCTTAGGGTACTCAGAAAGTGATTTTTCTTATTTCAAAAAAAAAAGTGTGAATAAAAAAGAACAGTTGATAACTTGCAACAACATGGATGACTCAACGTCCTGAGTGAAAGAAGTCAAACATAAAAAGAGTATATGTGGAGCTTCCCTGGTCGTGCAGTGGTTAAGAATCCGCTTGCCAATGCAGGGGACACGGGTTCCATCCCTGTTCCGGGAAGATCCCACATGCCGTGGAGCAACTAAGCCCGTGCGCCACAACTACTGAGCCTGCGCTCTAGAGCCCACGAGCCACAACTACTGAAGCCTGCATGCCTAGAGCCCGTGCTCCGCAGCAAGAGAAGCCCACGCACCACAACGAAGAGTAGCCCCCGCTCGCTGCAACTAGAGAAAGCCCCTACGCAGCAACGAAGACCCAACGCAGCCAAAAGTAAATAAATAAATAAAATTAAATTAAAAAAAAAGAGTATATGTGATTTCATTTATATGAAATTGTAGAACAGGCAAAACTAATCTTTAGTGAGAAAAAGTAGGTGAGTGGTTGCTTAGGGCAGGGGTGGGAACCTGGGTGGGTGGAAGAATGTTACAGGCTGAGGTAACAGCACCTAGAAAGGTCCTGAAGCAGTTACGAGTTTGGACTCTGAAGAGCAGGGAAGGCCATGTGACTGTAGCTTAATAAAGGAGGGGTGGAGGAGTACAAGAAGTGGTCATAGATGCAGACAAAAGCCAGGTTACTGTAAACCTTGCAGTGCTTGGGTTTAATTTAAGTTGAGGGTAAGTCATTGAAAGTTGGAGGTGTATTGTGTCAGGTCAAGCATGGAAGCAAGAAACAAGGAGACCAGGGAAAAGTCTATTGCAGGTAGTCCAGAAGTTGATAAAGGTGGTCTAGACAAGGGTAGGAGTGGTCAAAATTTAAGGAAATGATTGAAGTCAGGAGATACTTTGTAGGTAGAGCTTATAGGAATTATTGCTGTGGGGAATGGGGAGAAAAGGACAGTTTTAATGGTGACTCCTTGTTTTTGGCTTCTGAGGGGATAGTGCTATTATTTGAGACAGGAGAGTTGGAGAGAAGAATGAATTTGGGAGTGGAAGCTGTTTTATGAGATAGTTGTTTAGGTCTTTATGTTTGTTAGGAAAATACCCTTTTTCTAATTTTTTGCTTTTATTTTGTACCTTGATTGTTTGACTATTGTAGGTAGTGATACATTTTTTTTTGTATGCTTGTCTAGAATTGACCCTGTCTTCTCTTTGTGCTAGGATGTCTGAATTGATTGAAAAAGAAACTGAAGAATATCGTAAGGGGGATCCAGACCCATTTGATGATCGACATCCTGGTGAGACTGTGTTCTCTTAAGCCTGGCTCTAATTTTCTTACAAAAGAAAACTGCTTAGGGCTTCCCTGGTGGCACAGTGGTTGAGAGTCCACCTGCCGATGCAGGGGACATGGGTTCGTGCCCCGGTCCGGGAAGATCCCACATGCCGTGGAGCGACTGGGCCTGTGAGCCATGGCCGCTGAGCCTGCGCGTCCGTAGCCTGTGTTCCGCGCAACGGGAGAGGCCACAACAGTGAGAGGCCCATGTACCGCAAAAAAAAAAAAAAAAAAAGAAAAGAAAACTGCTTAATATAAGGAATATTTTTCAATTGAAATAAAATTTATTTGTTAAAATATTGCTCAAGGTGGGGGCAGAGAGGAAAAATAAATTCCTGGAAAAATGGAAATACTTTTAATATTTACCTATTAAATGGAAGATTACTATTACTAGAAGGTAACTTAAAGGAACTAAATTATATAGATACACCTTATTGACTCAGTTGATATGATTACAAAGATTTAAAAAGAGAAAAATGTTCTCTCTTTCTGACTTTTAAACCAAAAGATGTTATCCTCTGTGCCTTCATTTTTCTAACAACAATAATTATCCTTTTATTAACGGGGAGATGTGGTTGAGAATGCATTCAGTGCCTTGCTTTTAGTTACGAAATTGATGCTTGGAACCTTGAATAATGAATGAATGGATTTCTTGATGTCTACTTTAGTGTTCCAACAGCTAAAATATGCCATCTCATGTTAATGTGGTTTTCTTTTGGGCCAATTTAATTAGAGCCATGACAAACCAGCCTGCTTTGGCATGGAATTTGCTATAATACAGAACTGTATGGGACTTGAGACTGCTATTTTATGTTCTCTCTAAGGTAGCTTACCAGTGGGCAAAGCTTATGTCGTGTGGGCCCACACTGCATATAAATTTTCTCTTTATAAAACCAGGAGTTCTTTTTGGAGAGAAGAGTCCGAGATTTTGTATGTGGAGAGATAGTGAGAATGAATGGGACTTACAAAAATAAGAACATTGTATATCCACCCAAATGTTCCAGGGTTTATTTCTGTTTCTTAGACTTTTATTCCCAAATGTAAGTAAGCTAAGCATTTCAAATTGAGTGTCCAGTTGTTTATGTGATGTTACCTGCTGCTCTTGTCCTAGACATCCCCACTTGTGACTTTGAGAACGGCTATTGAGCTAACATCTTCAGTAAGGCAATCAGAGCATGAAATAGTAGGAAAGTGAAAAGAAACTAAGTTAATTCATGGGATTGTGAAAAGAATTCAAGAGATGATCATGCTTAGTGACATTGCCTTGGGAAGGATGAAATGGTAACGAGGAAGAAGGGAGAGAAGAGTGCCTTTTTTTCAGTAGAAATTTAAAGACAATTTTTTTCCTTCCTAACTCTTATGTTAAGTCATATTTGTCATTAGGCGTAATTTCTATTAATAAAAATAAGGGTCACAGTTTCATCTTTTATAAAGAGAGAAAGTTAAGTAATCTGAGGTCCACGTTTGTTTTTATGGTACCATTCTCTAACTTCTGTTTTTGTGAATTACTTTGGGATGTTAATTACAGCTTGGTAAAAACTTTATATCAGCAGCTTATATCTTTTCTTCATCCTAAATTGTATCCTTTGACTAAATTTGCCACTCTGAGAGGAAAATTAAATTGATGATATCTCTTTTAAAAGCGAACCAGTAATTTTCCCAACCATTAAGTAATTCTTTTACATTTAGGCTGTGTGTTGAGTAAATCCTAGGTTCCTGGCCTCCTTTCTTTCCCCAGGAGCTCAGAAGTTAAGATGACCAAGTTTATTTTATGTTTAGAATTGGTGATTGCTTGGCGGGATTCCCCCTGTCCCCCAAACCTGGAGTGTTCATTACAGGTTTGAGGACACATTTGTACTGCTGTTGGCATTATAGTTGAGAGATTGGACTTGGAGCCTATCTTCTCCAGGCCACTCATCAAAAGAAGTTGTGCTTCCTTCCTTTCTTTGGGAAGTCATGGGTTTTCATTCTTTTAGGCCCCTTTATGATTCTTTTGTAGACCCTTGTATACTCTTAGTGATGCTGGTCTGGGTCTAGTGCTCATTTATTTAATTCAGCATTGATGTGTAGGCAATATGCTGGGAGATGAGAATGTTAGGGAGCAGTGTCTCAAATTTTTTATTGTCATTTTTAATTTTAAAGAATGTTCCTTATGAAATCTGATTCATCAAAAGAATCTTTTCTTTGTTTCTGTTAATTTTTGCTGGCCTTTTAATAGTACTTAAAACAACCCAGGTGCCTTTCCAGAGGTTTGAGTAGCTTGACTGGGATGACTTACTCATTCCTTTGTTTGTTCCTCCCCTCTTTTTTTGGTAGGTCGAGCTGATCCAGAGTGTATGCTGGGCCACTTGCTGAGAATACTCTTCAAGAATGATGATTTCATGAATGCAGTAGGTTTGCTTCTTACTTTTCTCTAGAGATTATCATCAGCAGATACTGTACCTTTATTGTTTTTTTTGTAAATAGTCTGTTTTTTCCTGAGGCCTTGACAAAGTTGGGAATAGAGTGGGTAGCTTTTTAAATTTGGTATTGGTTCAATGAAATAGACTAATCATGGACTTCTTTATTACCAAAGTCCTGGTTGTGGCCAAGGTGTTTTCTCTTTGGTGTGTACTTTGTTCAGTTGAATATTGGTGAGGGTTCCCAAGGCATCTGTGCTCATTCTGGGGTGAGATGATTTTGAGTTTGGGAATATAGGAGTTCTCTTGGGTTCTTGAATAGAAAAGTAAGAGTGATATGTACCGTATGACTCTGCACTGACACTACGGGTGTGTGCATTGGGCATGTGGAGGGAGAGAAAGTGCCTTATTTAACTCTGGTCTGTTGAGGAGTAAATGAGGGTAAAAAAAAAAAGTATGTATTACTCACAGCTCCTGAACATAGTAATTATTCAGTAAATTGTGGCTGTTAGGTTTGATTTTGGAGGTGGAATAGCATGATGCTTGAGAGCATGGGCTTTGGGGTCCATGTTTTGGGTTTAAGTGCAGCTCCACTCTTCATTGACATTTTGATCTTTAGGCAACTTAAGCCTCTCCAAGCTTTATTTTCTCAAAGCTTTATTTCCCTAATCTATGAAATAGGGATGATAGTTCTTACCTTAAAATGTTTTTGTAATCCTTGAATGAAATTAAACATGAAAAGTGCTTAGTTCAGAACCTGGCACATGAGGGCTCAGTAATTATTAGCTATTATTTTTATCTGTATTATATTAATTCCCAATTTTATTTATCACTGGTGTCTCTTCTCTGCTTCAGATCACTTCCAGCTGCCTTCTAGACGTTCCCACATGGATATTTCCCACAGGCACCTTGAATTCTGCATGTCTCATTGTTTGCCCCACAGTCTGTTTCTCTTATGCTCTAGCTCAGTAATGGTGTCCTTTCCTAGCCAGCTGGAAGTTATCCTTTATTCCTCTAAGCTTTCTTATTCAGTGAACTTACAGGTCTTATTGTGCCCTCCCCCTTAACCCTCACAAATCCCTCCACTTCTTTCTGCCCTTGTTGTCAGACCTTAGGTTAGCTACCACCATCTCTCGATACTGCAATAGCCTCTTAATTGGTTTCTCTTCTTATCTTGTCCCAACCGATTCTTTACTTACATCCCGAAAATCTTTATCAAACGCAAAAAATGATCATGGCATTCTCTTGCTTAAAATCCATTAGTGCTTTCCCATTGCTCTCAAGATAAATTTTAAATTTTTTATTTTGGTTTATAAACCCAATCTCATGGCCTCTGTTCTCTCATTTTCTGTTCCTGACCTTTGGCCCTCCTCTCTTTCCCACTCCTCCTTAGCTATTCCTGCTTGTCCTTCATGTTCTCGCTTGGAATCCCTTCCTCTCTAAAGCCTTCTCTGATTCCCTTGCAGAGTTGTATGGCTTCCTACAGGTTTCTGTAGCATCCTGTACTTATGATATTTGTTTTTCCAACTGTCACCTCTTTTGGATTATGAACCCTTTGATGGTGGGACTGTGTCTTATTCACTGTTGTATACCCAGCAATAGAACACAGTGCCACTTAGAGATCCAGTATTTATTTGATGAGTGCCAAAAGGAAAGTTTTATTGATACATTTATATATATAAAATATAAAACTCAAATTTTTTCATTAACTATTGTCAAGAATCAGGGAGGGGTGAGGGGAGGCTTATCTTGCCCTGTTTTATCCTTCTGAAAAAGTGTATATGAGGATGGGGGTGTTTTCTTTGTGATACCCCTTGAGCTTGAATTTCTATGGTTGCTGAGTTGTTTTAGGGGGATTTGACTTTAAAGTGGCAGAGGAAATTATATGGTATTATCATGGCTCAGCAGGATCATAACTATTTCTAATAATTACAGGTTTAATTAGTAATGTTAGGTATAGTCTTCTTTAATACCCTTTAGGCAAGCTATGGGAATGTATTAAGGATTTATTAGTCATTATTAATTTGATTGGGTTGAATTTCAGATGAGATGTACTCCTTTTCTTTACAGCTGGTGAATGCATATGTGATGACAAGCCGAGAGCCCCCTTTAAACACTGCTGCTTGCAGACTCCTACTGGACATCATGCCAGGGCTAGAAACTGCTGTCGTCTTTCAAGAAAAGGTACTTACTAAAAAGAAAAGTCAACATTTTATTTTTTAGTTGAATGCTGATCTGTTTTTCTTTGTTAAAATAATTGTTATAGTTTTTTCTTATTATAGTAGTAATCTATATTATAGAATCTTAAGAAATTAAAACAAACAATAAGAAAAATTTTTAAATAACTATTTTGGTGAGTACTTGCTGTTTGGGTGCTGTAGTCTTTTTTAAAATCTTAAGATCATGTTTTTAGACATGGATTTGTGGATTTAACGATTTATGATCTTATTCAAACTCTTATTCCTTTTTTTTTTATTGGAATGTAGGTGCTTTACAATGTTGTGTTAGTTTCTGCTGTACAGCAGAGTGAGTCAGTTATACATATATGTATATCCACTCTTTTTTAGATTTCCTTCCCATTTAGGTCACCACAAGAGCACTGAGTATAGTTCCCTGTGCTATACAGTAGGTTCTCATTAGTTATCTGTTTTGTATATAGTAGCATATATATGTCATTACCAGTCTCCCAATTCATCCCACCCTCCCTTCCCCCTTGGTAACGATAAGTTTGTTTTCTACATCTGTTTCTGCTTTGCTAATAAGTTCATCTGTATACCATTTTTGTAGATTCCACATATAAGCGATACTATACGATATTTGTCTTTCTCTTTATGACTTCACTCTGTATGACAGTCTCTAGGTCCATCCACGTCACTGCAAATGACATTATTTAGTTCCTTTTTATGGCTGAGTAATATTCCATTGCATATATGTATCACATCTTCTTTATCCATTCTTCTGTCAGTGGACATTTAGCTTGCTTCCATGTCCTGGCAATTGTAAATAGTGCTGCAGGGAACATCGAGGTGCATGTATCTTTTTGAATTATGGTTTTTTCTGTGTGTATGCCCATTTTGGGATTGCTGGGTCACATGGTAGTTCTATTTTTAGTTTTTTTTTAAGGAACCTCCATACTGTTCTCCATAGTGGCTGTACCAATTTACATTGCCACCAACAGGGTAGGAGGGTTCCCTTTTCTCCACACCCTCTTCAGCATTTATTCTTTGTAGATTTTTTAATGTTGGTGATTCTGACTGCTGTGAGGTTACCTCATTGTAATTTTGATTTGCATTTCTCTAATAATTAAGACTCTTATTCTTAATGATGAGTAGTCTTCCCCGGTGATGAGGACATTCTGTTCTGAGGAAGGCTGTCCTATTCTTGACAGTATTTAATATTCACTTAGTTAATGTTTGAAGGCTGTGCTGGGCTGTGTTTTATGCTATGTGCTGGGAATATTTTGTCAGCAAGATAGGAGCTTACATTTATATATATATTTGGAAGAACAGAGACAAACTGATAATTTCAAATAAGGATAAGTGCTTTGAAGACCAGAGAATGGTAATTTGTTAGTGACTGTGTGTATATTTCAGTTGTCAAAAATTAGTTGCTGTGTTTTTAGAAGTAATGTCGATATTTTGTCTCTTAGCGTTAAGAATTTGCAGTGTGAATTGTGTATGCTATATAGCTTTCTTTGCTTTTAAAGACACTAAAAATTTAATCTTCTGAAAAAATCTGGAAGTCTCAGTATAGTTAAATGCATAAGCCAAGTGAAAGATCTGGAAACAGATTTTCTTAACTTTTAAGAAAATTTTATTACAGAATTGTACCACATAATGTATTTTAGAGAATAACATTGTTATTAATGCTATAGTTTGCAGTATTATGTAGACTAGATTTAAAAATCTCTAATTAGCTCCCACTGTGGGAGACCAAAAAAAATCTATCTCCTGTCAAAAATGTTTTAATGTGAATTCTTTTTTTTTTTAATGTGAGTTCTTTTCAAAAGCATGGTGAAAATGAAGCACTTACAGCAGTGTATTTGTTATATGCAAGGTTTATAGAAGATTACAGATGATTTTACTGTGCTTTGTAAAAGTTTCCTGGTTGTCATTGTAGGAAAATCATCTCTGATTCTTTATAGTTTTATTGTTGTATGTTTAGAATGAAGTGAATACCCTCTGGATGTTGGAAACATGAAAGGGTATTTTGAATAATAAAGCTTTCTGCAAGAACAGTTTTGTATTTTTATTTTATTTATTTTCAATAAATTTATTTAATTTATTTATTTATATTTGGCCGCATTGGGTCTTTGTTGCTGCGCGCAGGCTTTCTCTAGTTGAGGCGAGCGGGGGCTACTCTTTGTTGCGGTGAGTGGGCTTCTCATTGTGGTGGCTTCTCTTGTTGTGGAACACGGGCTCTAGGCGAGCGGGCTTCAGTAGTTGTGGCTCATGGGCTCTAGAGCGCAGGCTCAGTAGTTGTGGTGCATGGGCTTAGTTGCTCCTCGACGTGTGGGATCTTCCTTGACCAGGGCTTGAACCCATGTTCCCTGCATTGACAGGCAGATTCTTAACCACCGCACCACCAGGGAAGTCCTAGAACAGTTTTGTTTCTTAATAACTGATTTTTATTAGGTCGAGAGAAGTGAATTATTCAAAGATAATCATAATTAGGTTGGAAATAACATTGCCTTGAATCCAATGTCCTAGAGTGTAGATTATAAACCTCTTTAACCTTGTGAGACCTTACCACTGGATTATATGATGTTCTTTACCTTTCAGAAATATCCTATGCACATTTTTTGGTGTGAATCAATGTTTTACTTCTTTAAAAACATTTAATTATAGTGTGTAAATTAATGAGTCAGAAATCATAATTTTTGGGGACTTCCCTGGCGGTCCAGTGGTTAAGACTCCACACTTCCACTGCAGGGGGCACAGGTTCGATCCCTGGTCAGGGAACTTAGATTCTGCATTCTGCGCAGTGCAGACCGCCCCCCCGCTCAAAAAAAAAGAAAGAAAAGAAAAAGAAAACAAAATCATTATTTTTAGACAGATTGGCAACTGGTGTTTCACAAAGCTACAGTTAAGACTCATTGCTTTAGGGCTTCCCTGGTGGCACAGTGGTTAAGAATCCGCCTGCCAGTGCAGGAGACATGGGTTTAGAGCCCTGGTCTGGGAAGATCCCACATGCCACGGAGCAGCTAAGCCCGTGTGCCATAGCTACTGAGCCTGGGCTCTAGAGCCTGTGCTCTGCCACAAGAGTTGCCACCGCAGTGAGAGGCCTGCGCACTGCAACGAAGAGTAGCCCCCACTCGCCGCAACTAGAAAAAACCCGCGTGCAATAACGCAGACCCAGTGTAGCCAAAAATAAATAAAATAAATAAATTTATTTAAAAAAAAGATTCACTGCTTTAGAGCAGTGTTTCTCAAACTTGCTGAACCGATAGCTACACATTTTACTTTTTTCCAAAAGCTGGGTACATTTTGTTTTACATTGCAACCCATACATTATATGTATCAAGAGTTTTCTTAAACATTGTTTACCCTTTGTGCAGTGCATCCTTATAGTTTCTATTTCATTTCTTTTTAAGAGCTGGTTGTAAGTTACTAAATTGACTGTATTCTAGCTGCTGTTTAAAAAAGTTGCTGGATTGTACTTTCACAGATGTTGAAATAGCTTTAAATTTTATTTTGTTTTATTTTCTGTTTATGCTTGCTGCTCTTTTTTAAGTATAGTTGATTTACAATGCTGTGTTAATTTCTGCTGTACAGCAAGGTGGCTCATTTGTATGCATATATACATTCTTTTTTTTTTTAATATTCTTTTCCATTATGGTTTATCCCAGGAGACTGGATATAGTTCCCTGTGTTATACAGTAGGACCTTGTTGTTCGTCTGTTCTAAATGTAATAGTTTGCATCTACTAACCCCACACTCCCAGTCCGTCCCTCTGCCTCCCTCCATCCTCCTTGGTAACCACAAGTTTGTTCTCTATGTCTGTGAGTCTGTTTCTGTTTTGTAGATAGGCTCATTTGTGCCATATTTTAGATTCCACATATAAGTGATATCATGTGGTATTTGTCTTTCTCTGTCTGATTTTACTTAGTATGATAATCTCAGGTTGTATCCATGTTGCTGCAAATGCCATTATTTCGTTCTGTTTTATGGCTGGATCGTATTTCATTATATATATGTACCACATCTTTTTTATCCATTCATCTGTCGACGGACCTTTAGGTTGTTTCCATGTTTTGGCTATTGTGAATAGTGCTGCTATGAAGATAGGGGTACCTGTATCTTTATTTATTTTTGGCTGTGTTGGGTCTTTGTTGTGCGTGTGGGCTTTCTCTAGTTGCGACGAGTGGGGGCTACTCTTTGTTGCGGTGTGCGGGCTTCTCATTGCGGTGGCTTCTCTTGCTGTAGAGCGTGGGCTTCGGTAGTTGTGGCACGTGGGCTCAGTGGTTGTGGGTCGCGGGCTGTAGAGTGCAGGCGCAGTAGTTGTGGCTCATGGGCTTAGTTGCTCCACGGCATGTGGGATCGTCCTGGAGCAGGGCTCAAACCTGTGTCCCTTATATTGGCAGGCGGATTCTTAACCACAGTGCCACCAGGGAAACCCCTGTCTTTTTGAATTATAGTTTTGTCTGGGTATATGCCCAGGAGTGGGATTGCTGGATCATATGGTAACTGTATATTTACTTTTCTGAGGACCCTCCATACTATTTTCCAGTATAGTGGCTGCACCAACTTGCATTCCCACCAACATTGTAGGAGGGTGCCCTTTTCTCCACACCCACTCCAGCATTTGTTATTTGTAGACTTTAGAAAAAAAAAAAAAAAAGTGTTTCCCTGGTGGTGCAGTGGTTGAGAGTCCGCCTGCCGATGCAGGGGACACGGGTTCGTGCCCCGGTCTGGGAAGATCCCACATGCGGCAGAGCGGCTGAGCCTGTGAGCCATGGCCGCTGAGCCTGCATGTCCGGAGGCTGTGCTCTGCAACGGGAGAGGCCAGAACAGTGAGAGGCCCGTGTACCGCAAAAAAAAAAAAAAAAGATAAATAAATAAATAAATGGCTGTGTTGAGTCTTCATTACTGCACGCAGGCTTTCTGTAGTTGGGGCGAGCAGGGGCTTCTCTTCATTGCAGTGCGCAGGCTTCTCTTGTTGTGGAGCTCTAGGCACATGGGCTT